AATGGATTACTTGGCAGACCCAAAAGACTTAAGAGAGCAATGAGAATAGAAGGTGAAAGGAAGAACTGGGACAAGGAGGGGATGAACTGGGGAGAGCGCAGCCACGCAGGCTTAGCTCAAGAGGAGCGAGCTGGGTGACCGCAGGAGATCAAAGGATGACCACAACAGAACCAAAGCAATAGTGGGTGTGTAGAGTGGAGAGAAGGGCCTTGGACCGCTTTGTTCAAACAGGAGGAGTCAGAAATTGCAAAGGGACCTGAGGTTGTCAACAGGAAAATTTGGGAACTGCTCCTTTACTTTTCTCCAAGAAGAGCTCCTAGTGGAGCTCTGTAACGAGCTCATCACAGCACTGCTGGTTTCTCACAGTAGGTGGACATTTTACGCTGAAACCTCTACAAAAGAGAGGTCAAAAGCAAGTATGCTGAGAGACATGAACTCTAACCTTTCCCTAAGGGACCCGGTCTTGCAGCCGGTGTTTGTCCAACAGCAATGTGCCTCACGCTGCGAGAATCCACTGAAATTAAAGTGAGAGAGTTTCTTAGGATAACTTAAATTGAACTGAAAAGTCAGGTGAAATATGTCTGGGGTTTTCAAGGGTTGGTGAAGGAAATCTTATGAGCTTCTAAATAGTCTTTAAAAATCTAAAGTTTCTAAATAGTCTTTAAAACATCACTGGTAGGAGTGATGAGACCAAAAGGTGGAAATGCAGCACTTTTTGTCAGACAGAGTGGGAACAAAGCAAAATGAGAAGTAGATAATCCCCTGATGTCAAATCAAAGCTAGCTACCCAGGATAAAACAAAGTACTTCTTAAAAAAAAAAAAAAAAAAAAAAGGCAAACACTTATTTTAGAATTGCTGTCATCTTAGATTGTTGCTATTGAGACCAAGTAATCTGCTTGCCAAACCCAGACTGTATCCCTAGTCTATCCTGCTGGTTTATTTTTGAGGTACTTATCATCTAGTTACCAAATTGGAACCTGATGCTGCAGAATAGTGCCTGCCAGCCCAGCTCTGCCACTGCCCCGCTTTCCACGGACCTCTGGTGGTGGAAAAAACTTGCTCAACCAGGACTTCCGTTTATTTTGCTATTTTTAACAAATCCTCCTGTCTTCTGAGGTGCAATTGCAGCATGCATTATATGGGCTTGTAACTCCTAAAGCGTATCCGCACTTAAGGACTGCAGTTCCTTCTAAGCTGTGTAGCCAGACAAATTCTCTACCAGATGTTCTCAGTAAGTCAGAGTTGACTTCGTAAGTAACATGTATTTATTGGAAGTCTGGGCTAAGTATTTTACAAGCTGTTGCGTGTGTGTTAACACTAGCACCTTTCACCAAGTATCAATTAATTTTATTAAAAGTAAGATAATTAAAATTATGATCTTGTTCCCACTAACAAAGGGAAAGGAAAATGCTTACAGCATAATTGCAGGCTGTTCTGAGATCATGCTGACGTACACCCATGCACCTCTGGTTGATATCTCTTACTGCTAGGAAAGAATACATTCTACCAGCAGTTATTTATGGTCAAGTGTTACAAAAATAATGACGCTTAGTTCCCATATCTGCTACCCTGTACTGCACTGATGGCCTAATTCATACCGTCATGAGGAGGTCTGCCTTCCTCAACCACTGATCTTTATATTTCCCTGTGCTTTCTGCACCAGAATATGTTTAGGAGTGGAGTGAGAAATTGAATCCTGGCATTTGAAGATTTTTTTGAAGAGTGAATGAAAAATACCGTAAAAATTAGCACCCCTTGAAAGTTTAAGGGGAAAGTTTCAAAATCTCTGTTGCAAGTGGGTTGCTTTTCAGATTCAGCTAGATTATCATTCCACTATTCTTTCTGTCGCTGCCGATTAGAAAGGACTGATCATTTTTGCGTCTCTAAACTTCACGTATGAATTATTGTTTAATTGCTGATTATTTAAAAGTACACGTAATAGCCACCATTAAAGATGTATGTTGCGTGTTTGTGATGAACCCCCACTGACTCGATAAACAGAGTGTTTGCTTTGGTTGTAACCCTAAGTGTGTTTTCACTTCAAATGCGGGCTTAAGCAATGTATTCATTTCACCTTATTTTTAGCAGATTGTCAGTTTTGTTGTTTCCGTAGCTATGGAACCCACGTAAGGAAGCCGGGGCCTTCCATTACCCAGCTGTTGGGCTAAACCCCTCCCGGAATCCCCATTATGTCCAGCTGTTAGGGTCAGATAGCTTCAGAAGCAAGCGTGTTGCTGCCGTACCAGGGGCTATCCACGAGGACGCGTGTCCCTTCTGAGGGAGCAGGAGGGCCTCAGAGGCTCTGCTTGATTTACTTTGTTGTCAAAGCTGTGGAAGCCCCAAAATTGCCCTTACAGGCTGGTTGTCCCATTCGGAAAGACCGGCTTTCGGTAGTGCAGGTGGGCACACGCCGTTTTCCTCGACAAGCTGTGCCAGGGCTTGAGGAGTAAATAAAACAGCAAGAAGACGCAGATCGGTGTCGCTGGGAGACTTGACGTATTTATGTTGAACCGACCTGCGCATTTCACTTGAGAGAGAAGCACACCTGGCGTTGTTGGCCAGATACTTGGCAATAGCCAGATTATCTTTTCTAATCGGAAAATATTTTATGTTATGCTTTTTTAAAAGTGAGCACTGATGTTACATTGGGTTTATGTGCCGAAGGGCCCCGTTTTACGGGCACACGTTCAGAAGGTTCTTAGATTTGATAAATTTGAGAAGGGGGAAAGCCTCGCAGTGGGATTGCTGGTGTCAGACACAGACCATACAGATACAAATTGCGTTAGCTAGAACCTTCTTGTTCTGATTTTGGGTTGCGAAGTCATGGGCGAGCCTGGCAGACCGTTGATGCAAATTAGGATGTGGAGTTGAGGTTGTCATCTCTTGGTATCTCAATTCTCTACAAGTGTAGTAGTGATGATAGCTATTTCTTTGTGCCGTGCTTTGTCCACCTTCTATATTTAGGCCGTCAGATCGCTGCAGGAGGAGGCAGCCACTTTCTAGGTGTGTGAATACTCAGCTCTGATATTTTTTTTTAGATGACACAAATAGCAAGCAGTAATAACAAACGTAAAAGCTTGTCTTCAGTTTCGGCTCCTAAAACAGTAGTGGAGGTACCAAACTGTGTCTACAAAATCGAGGGTGCAGACTTTGAGCGTGGGTATTGAGGGGAAGAGACAGCTTTGTGGGAGCCTTGCTGAAAGAAGAAGGACTGTGTTTGGGGAGAAGGAGGGGAGGTCTGGAAGGGAGGAAGGAGAAACTGCCCCTCGTGGAGGGAGGAGGAATGCCTGGGGGTGGGTGTTGTGTAAAATCTTTGGCAGAGGGCATTTAAGGCTGAGGCTCAGGAGCAGGTTTGCTCTCAGTGCTGGCCACGTTATTTTACAGGTTGGGGTCACTGCCGGCAGTGTTGGTATCGCTTTGGCCTTAGCTCACTTCTGGTAAGTGTTGACGCCGAAGAGGGGTGCCTAGGTCTTACCTCTCCTCTGGGCAGAGGATTTGGGCGGGCACCTCCAGCACGTTGTGCATCCTGCTTGGGGTCTACACCACCCTCTGGAGACACCTCCGTCTTCTGACTAGAGGGGGAGCCCAGGACAAGTGGGCGTCCAACTAACATTATTGGTTCCTATGGGGTGATGAATTAAACGGTTCCTCTTGCCCCTATCTGCACCATTCCTTCCACCACAAGAGGCTTTCCCAACCCAGACGGTAATGGAAAAAAAACAAGATGGAAAACAAAACAAATTTTTCACACTGTATTTTTACCTGTTTTATTTATGCTTTGACTAGAAGTATGACAGCATTTTCAGGGAAGACAACAAACAGGCTGTTTCATCCCGTTGATAGTTTGATTTTTGCAAATTTCTGCACTCGTTTTTTTACAACACAAAAGAATTTGGATTTTTTTTTTTTTTTTATTCTTGTACTACTTTTTTTTATTTTTTATGACAATCTATGAGTTTTACCGCCTGGTCTTGTTTTTTGAAAAACAATTCTTTCTGGCTTTTTATTTTAATTTTCTGTGACCAGCACTCACCCACCTTGTCCTCTAAAAATTAAATTAGATGGATCATGTCAGAGATCAGCTGAGCTGGGATGAGGTATATTCTTTCTTAATCTGCAATGCTGTTGTAAATGTAAAACTTTTTTTTTTTTTTTTTACTCAGTTCCTATGAAGACACTGCTTGAACGAGCGAAAAGGTATAAGTCATTTTAATCAGAAGACGTGTATGAGTAGTGGCTACTTTTTTGCATGGAAGTATGAACCTAACTAACATAGAATAAAATGTTCTGGCTCTGCACAGGCTTTGCTAGACTGTGCATTCAAAATGAATTTCTTCCAGGACCTTTTCCTTCATCACAGTTCAGAATTGCCTTAATGAGTGCTCACTTTTTGAAATCCACCTGCCTTGATTGCACACAGGGAGTGCAATCACAAAACACAGGTTTTCGGGAGGCAACCTTGAAGAGCAACCAGTGTTGGCTTAACTCTGCTCCTGGTGATAACTACAGAAATTATACCATTGATTTCAATGGGAACAGAATTAAGGCAACTGTAAGTACTTCTGGAAATGTTACTCTACATTTTTAATCAATTGTATTTAACTATAGCAGTTAATAAAAAAAACCCCAAAAGATAAATAATAATAATAATCAAGCTCTGACTGTTTAAAAAAAGGGGAAATCCTTTAAAATCATGTAAAATAAAACCTGCTTTTTTGTAAACAGGCAATACTGAGTAAGCAGGAATTCATGGTCCCATTTAGATGCTAATTGTAGTTGGAAATTCGAATGAGGATTGGTCATAGGCCTAAAACACCTAAATACTTTAAAATATATTCATAAATAATCATTCCTTATACATCATTATTGTTTCTTACTGCATGTCAAAAACATGGACTTCTGTATTCCCCAAGAAAGAAAAATGAGGGATTACTTTTGCTTTTGGCACAGAAAAGTAAAAATAAAGAACTAGCACCACCCTTAAGGGAGCGCATGGAATACTACCAAATTGTTCTTTATTTGCCTTAGCTTTTTTTTTTTTTTACAAAAGTCTTAAATATAGGTTAATATGTAAACACTGTGCACGCACTGAGAGTTTGATCCTGGCCTGTTGAAATCAATGGCAAATTTCCCATTCACTGCCGTAGTGCAAGATCAAGCTCCGAGTTAGTACGGTACGTACAAGCCTAAGTCATTGAGGGAGCCATGGATTCAGGAAAGCAAAAGCTCAGGTGCTCGTTTCAAAACCAGTTGCTGGAGGAATCAGACTTTGCGCCGAAAACCTTCCTGCACATGTTCGAGTTTTCTTGATGGAGAGGGTATTCATTACCTGCCAACAGTTCTGCTTTGCCTCTCCTTGCAGTGTACCGTCTGCCAGATGGTAGACTTTCGTACTTAGTCACGTAACGCCTGTAAAAAAAGACACATGGTGGTCTGGCATTAGCAAATTTATGCAAAATCTGTACCCTGTAGGTGAGGCTAGAGATAAACTTTACATATACACTTCCACAATATGCAGGTATAATCAGAAGATGTTTTAGTAGCTGCAGAGTAACAGATACTGTTTTCAGAGGATTTCCTGGAGATCCTCAAGTTCTCTGAAGATCCTCTTATTCTTCTCCTCTCAGGCTTACCATCTTTTGGATCAGAAAAGCCTGAATGGAAATCTGGCACAGGCTCTGCAAATGTTCTTGCCCTTAGGTCTTAGCAAATAGGGATTAGGAGGGAGTAGTAAACCCCGCTTCTCACATGGCAATGCAATTACTACTCTATGGCTACTGGAAAGCATCTTTTTTACCTTATTGCGCAGATGTTTAGCTTTCAGGAAAGTTGGTGCCTTAATAAAGTATCATAGAACGTGACGGCTGCAAGAGCTTAACACGCCAGGTACTTCTGTTGACACTAGTAAATAGCAGATGATGAAGAAAACTTTCCACGTCAGCTAGTTTATGGCTATGCACTTCCTCTCTCAACAGTGTAATAGAGAACTACTGCTGGCAAGGTTTCAGGTCACCATCGGAACTGACTGTACGTGAGGAGACCAGTGTCCTGCCACTTCAGTTAGTTTACTTGCAAAACCAAATTAGAAAATTGGACTAAAGCACACGTTCAGAGTAAGTTGTGATCTCCAAAAAGGTCCCTTCTGAATCTCAGGGGTTCAGGAAAGAATGGGTTAGCAGAGAGGTTGGTGTGTGTAAGAGCCTACACTGCACCTGGCTGTGTTAGGCTGCAATTTGGCCTCTGTGGTTAATCTCTAGTGGCTGTGAACACCAAAAGGTCCAGATTCAGCAGCTGTCTGGAAGGACATCTCAGAAATTGTGGGCTCTTAGTTCTTACCTGAACGGAGACTCGACTCTGTCCATCTGCATGCAGACTAAAAACGGGTACTGTGAAAACTGCACCGTGGAGATGAAGTCTAATGCTGTTTCTACTTCCAAAGTGGTTTCCATGCCAGTTTTTACAAAGAAGGAATCCACCTCTGTGTTACCAGCTATAAACATGGCTACCCTGCAGATAAATTCAGGTAGTACAATTAATTCAAAACACATTAAGAAAGAGTAAATTAAATTGCAAACAGTCCTACTATCCACTCATAAAAACTGCCCTCAAAGGAGCCTGTTCCTCAGGTAAGGGTATATAAATTAGGATGAGACCAGTGGGAACTGGTATTACTCAGGTGGAAATGAAAAGAGAAGTAGAAATATTCTCCCATGCACGTAACTGTTATTTAATTTTAACTCATCTGCAAGGTCTTTTGTATTTAAATTCTTCTCATCGGGACTACTGAGGCTCGGGAGCCTGAGCTCTCTACAGCTATAGCACATGCTGGGAGTATCTCACCGGTTCTGGACGTTGGTTTTGGATTCCCTGTACCACAGGCTGAACTCCATCCCTCCCGAGATGTCGATGGCCAGGCCGCCCAAGAACTCCGTGCTGGCCCTCGGCCCGGACTGCAGCTGAATCTCCTAGAGGCGTCAGAAAGCACAGGTAACCCCCCCGTTACCGACTGCAGGCCTCAGTGGTTTCCTTACCCCATTTCGTACTGCGATCACGCCACTTGTCATTTTGCAGGAACAAAAAAAGGAATAGAGGGCTTTTCTGAAAGGGTGGACAAAACACCCCGATTGACCTCACTCCCTCGAAAATGGGGTGAAGCTAAGGCGAGGTGCCTTGCGTCCTTCCCCTCTCCTCTATGTGCCAGCTGACATAACTTCTGCAGGGAGTATCACCACAAGGAATATCATGGACTCTGTCTCCAACAGCTACCACGCAAGCCCCATGGAGGCTCTGCCATGGGCATGGTCCAGCTAAGTCAGACGAAACTCCTCGCTGGAGCCCCAGCAATGGTGCAGCACAGGACGACTTCTTCAGCACGCCCAAAGGCAGCCCCGTACTGGCAGTGGGATGCACAGTGCCGCGAGCCGTCGCGCAGTGGCTCCGAACCCACCGTAGCGCAGGAGCTACGTCTTCAGTGGCTGGGTGGCCAAACCCATAAGCTAATGCCCCTTAATTGCCATGGTGAATTTGCATTTAATGCATTTTCCATCAACCATCAAGTGTGCCCATGGCTTCTTGAAACCTCTACGGCCGGACTGGAAATGCATCATGTGGAGTCTGTTTCAGAAGTGATAATATAGCTCAGGGTTATGGCAGTTCATTACTTTTAAGTTTTGACAGCCAGCCAAGATTTTAAGATTGGCAGTCTAACTCACTTTATATAGTTGTCCTGCTTCCCTAAGAACTAGTGGATTAATTCACTGTTTTAAAAGAACCATTAATTTGGAAAGAGTTTATTTTGAACATGTCCCTCGAGTACAGAGCACTTCCTCTTCTATCCCAGCTGGTTTTCTCCCTCCTCCTGGGTTTCTGTGCCTGTGGTATTCTCAGCACCTGTAATGCTGCAGGCATTTGTAGGATGTCTGAATGCCCAATTTCCTCCCCCTTTTTGATGTCCAGGCACCTTAAAAGTCTCTCCTCTCTTCTTAGCTATTCAGTAGCCCAGTGGTTCCAGCTAACACTGTCCCAAGATTTAAGAAGCAAGCAGAGACACTCTGGCTTCCTAATCCCTATAGCAAGGAGCAACATTTGAGGAGGTTTTTATTCAGGGCCTGAATAAAAAAGCTTTATTCATTAAAGCTTTCCTGCCGTAATCGAGGACTTGGATAAGTATGGTGGCTGTATATGGTTACTTCACATTTTAGAGTAAATGAACAATCTCTGAACCAAATCTCCTTGGCAGAACCAACTTGGCAGTCAGTTGCTGCTGAAGTGGGCTTGAGATTTAATGTAAGAGTTCAGTGGGTTGGCTGCAGCTTATAAATATAAATATAAACCACACGCCCCCAGCAAGTGTGGTCACACTGTGCTCTGATTTCTTATTTCTACTCAAGTAAAAATAACAGCTTGGAGTTGTGGTCTTTCTGAAACCAAAGGGAGTTTTTCTACTGACTGCAATGGGGCAAGGAATACTTTTCTTGTTGGTCTGTTTAGGTGTGGAGACAAAGCTTGTTTTACTCCATTTTACTTTGCTTTTAAATGGGACTGAGTTGGTGGGCAGCTGTTAAGGAGCGAGAAGGTAACAGTATACATTCTGGCAGAGACATGTACACACAACCACAGGAGCAGATATTTTTAGATGCATTGTCAAATTGCACCTAAAAATATTACAGTAGGCTTTGCAATGGCTGCACAATTTAAGGCTTTAAAGGCTGCTTAGAATTAAGTCAGGTTTGTCACTGAAACCAGCAGAGAAGCTAAGGAGCACTTGTCTTCTGTTCATCTTACTTGTCTTACTTGTCCATCTTTTTCCTTATTTAGAGCTCAGTCCTGTCTTTTGCCTCATGTGCAAATCCAATCCAGGTTGATGGGAGGTGTAAATCACAGAGACCCAGCCTCCTCAGGGGCAGTATTTTCCTTTCCCTTCGTATTTTAAGCTTTGTGTGTCATTTGCAGGGGAAAATGTGACCCAAAAGATCATAATCAGTAGTTTGTTACCATTTAAAATGCTGAAACGTGCTATGTTTCAATTAAAAAAAAAAAGGTTTCTTTATGTATTGCACTGACAGTGCTACCGTAATGCAACACAGAGATGTCTGAAACAGGCACTTCTTTGGGAACTGGCTATCTTCCACTGGGGTCTGTCTTTCAGATGGTTTCTCTGACCTATTAATACAGTATTTAATTTCTCTGTGCTTCTGGCAGGTGTGTTGCCTAGGAGAAATACTAACACTACTGAACTTTAATGCAGGTGACTTAGGAGTCTCAAAAACAGTTTTATGAGAGCTGTTTATTTTACAGAGGGAATTATAACTTCTGGGTGGTTATTCTTAGCCCTCAAACAACACTGTGAGAACTGGCAATGGCTGTAAAATAGACTCCAATTTCAGTTTATGGAGTTATCTGAGAAAACATGTTACAGATGGTGGGTGGGAGTGTAAGCTTCAGATGCAATATTATTAACTTGGAAATCACCTCTCCAAAATGTGCCTGTTGTGATTACTGCAGTTGTAAAGTTAATGAAAAGAAGCTATTTTCTGGGAGGCTGGGGAGAGGTATTTGGTAGATTTGACAGCACTTTTAGTACAACTCAGTTTCAGTCTTTCTGTGCAAAATGATCCTTATAAAGAGCAATAAGAGAGCAGAACTTTTCCAATATTTAAAAATCACTTTTCTCAAAATCAGGCTGCACCAATGCAAAAATTGCAACCCAAATATTACATAAGCTCTTTTCTGACAATTCAGTTGCCTCATTTTTAAGTTCCAGTCTTGGCTTCCAAGCCATCCCTGTGATGTTTGATCTCAACCTGTCTGTATCTTACATTTGGTTTTCGCCTGTTCTGAAATCACACTGCGGCCAGCTTGGCACACTGAGTTTTGGTATCATAGAATGGGCGCTGTTTCCCATGCCGGGTTTTCTTCTTTGAAAGAAGATAAACCCACGTTTGCCTTGGTTGTATGCACTGTATGAATTTGTAAAGGGGCTTATGTTCTGGGCAAGGCCTGTCCATGCTGGCCAGGGAAAGTGGAGGTAGTACTCAGCTATCCAGAAGCTAGATTAATCATGGCTCTCCTGCACTTTCCTCAGTTCCAGTGTTCCCATTCTGACAGTGTTTTCTGGTACAGCTGTAATCACAGTTCAAGAATTTGACAGGTGAAAGCATTTCTAACGAAGCTTAAACGGGTTATGTGGAAGTGCCCAAACCATGTTGATGTTGCTGTTGACTTGGAACGTAGCTGTAAAACCATTCTGAGAGTGACGTGCTGTGTTTAAAACACAGCGCAGCCTGAAGCTGTGTTCAGCAGTGCTTTAAACAATTTTTGCCTTTGTGGGGTGTAGAGGTAAGAACTAGTGCCTTTTTGGTTGTGAACACACGTTTTTGGTTGTGTCCACTGCTTGAATCCCAAAGAGCTTAGGCAGCAACTGTGCTAGTGGCAACCCACGAGAGAAAGCAGGGTGGGATCCTGTCTCATCACGCTGCTGCCTAGGCTTCCAGAGTGTCAGTGACTGATCGAAAACGTTACACCCCAATATTGTTAAAAATGGCACGCAGTCCCAGCCCTGGTGTGCCCCAGACTTCTGTCAGGTTCTCCAGAGATGAGCAGTGGAGAATCTGCTGGCTGGCAGAGCTCTCAGGGTGCCCAGCCAGCTGCTTCAGCCAGGGTATGTATGGAGCTTGGTGCATGCACAGCATTGGAAATACTTAGTTCTGTAAACACCATGCTTGTATATTCAGGACTGGACATGATTATCTTTCTCACCTTTGCAGTCTGTTAAATAGGTCATGGTAAAGATTTTGCCCATAATCTGCATGTGAACTGTAAAGCATTGTTGGAATGAACTTTAGTTAGCCAATTTGTGCACTACATGGGAAGCCCTCTAGATTATTAATACTGTTAATAAAGGGGCTGAGCTGGGTTCAGGATGGGGACAGCTGTCATGTGCAGGCGGTGTTTCTGTCTAATTTTCATCACAATGGATATTCTCATCATCTGCATTTTATTTTGCCGAGAGTTAAAGGGGAAAAGTAAAAAGTAAAGTTCGAGCCTGCAGATGTTTCATGAGCTGAGTGCTGCTGTTAAATCCCCAGGTTCTAAGGAGATCCCTGCTTGGGAAGAACAAAAATATCAAACGAAATGCTGGCCCTGCACTTTCAGACATATGTCTAGATTTTTAGTCCTCTAGTAATACATTATGTAGCTTGTTATATTTGTATATGCGTCTATACTTAAGCATAAAATTAGAGACCATTTGGGGTGACAGTTGCATAAAAACTCTGTAATCCTCATTTTAATTCCTGGTTTTGCCTAGCAATAAGCATTTGAAATTTGGACCTCTTAGAGTTGTTCTTTGAAGGTTAGTTACCTGGGAAAGTTTGAGTACCAGTGATTTGTTCATTCAGGACCTGACAGTTATTGCCTAACTGGACGTAAGATCTCTGGACAACTTGTGAAGAGGAAAACTTAGGTGGTCACATGGGACAATACTACAAGAAACCATGGGAGGGGAGGCCATAGCTGACAGCAATGTGAGTTTTCTACAGGAAATTCAGTTGGATTTGCTTTAATTCAGCGTTACTTTTTTTTCTAGAATGATAGATGTTCTCACCTTTGTTTTAGATTGCTTTGCATGTAATTTCATTCTGTTTTTTAATACCTGTGACTTTTCTATTGCTCCCATAGTAAGAGAAGCCTAGGTAACACTGGTCAGTTCTATCAGCACTGAAAAGAAAGAAAATAAGATGTCCTGCAATAATGGTATGGGGGAGGGAGCCTCTGTGCTTAAGAGACAGAAAAAGAAGCAAACAGTGTGCTATTAGTACCTGTGAGTAATCTGTCAGGAGGAGAAGTCCTTTCACCACGTTAATGGGATCTCCAGTTGCTGAGAACATTTTAGACATTAAATCACCATACCCTTGGAAAAATGTAACTGGCCTGAGTTGGACATCGAACAGAATGGCTGACATGCCAGCAAAGGAATCCAGGTTTTCCTCGCCTTCATCAGGAGTCGCAGCTATTATGGACTCCAGACCTTGAGCTTCAATCACCACCTAAGAAGCAACAGCAATACAGAATCAATGAAAAAACGCTGTCTGACCCAGGCTGTTAAAAACCCTACGCATTTTCTTCATGTCTAAGAGCCTAACTCTAATTTATGTAGTTGTACTTTAAAAAGTATGAGGTTAAGACTTAAGGGAACTAGGTAGAGCAGCTAGAAAAATGGAAAATAAAATAATCTCATGGCATGTTTTTTTCCCTTTAGATGCAGGCAGAATTTGCCCACCTGCAGATCACAATCCCAAGCCTACTTTCCTTTCAAACAAATTTTCCTTTATTCATATGACTATTTTTCACAGACCTCTGGGAGGAAAACCCAAAGATGTTCCACTGCACAATTTTTGCCCTGCAGAAATTTAGGAGGATTATCATATTGAAGGTACTTGCTAACATTAAGAAAAGTCCAAAACAGAGGCATCTCATTTAAATCTCTTTGATTTGTACATTTAATCTACTCCTTGTATTTCCATTCTCTGTTATACCTGAAATACAGGACTTGATTTTACAAACTCGCAAGGCTTTTACCAATTACATCAGATAAACAGTGTATGCTTTAACCAGAGACAGAATTCAAGATATATACAGAACAAAACACCTGTCTTTTTGGTTAGGGCAAACTTGTGCCTCAGTGGCTGTTGTTTCTTCTTCCCTTGTTACTGGCTTGTTCTCTGTCCAGTGCAGCAAAACTTATGGTCTTAAGCATTAGCTGAATTGATTTAGAAGCTGTAAGAAGAGGACCACATACTGGCTTAATTTTTATGTACACTGTGGCAGTTACCTGGATGGCATGTAGTTCAGCATTTCTGTCGAAAATATGGATGTTCATGTTACTTCTCCTTAAAATGCCAGAGCCTGAATAGAGGATGTCAAGGCTGTATGTGGATGATACATCAGGACCACCTTAATTAAAAAAGAAAGAAGGTACCTGTGACTAAACTAATGGATTAATCAAATGTTTGGGAATACAAACAGGGTTAAAAGGCAGTTTCATGGTTACATACGTGTAATATAGCCAGAGTAGGCAGAGGAAGAGCCCATCTTGGAGAAGCGGTCATAGTTATGAGCACGCATGTCCTTCAGAACTTGCCGAATTGTTTTGCTGTGGTATTTCAAAACAAACATACAAACAAAAGCACAGAGACACAAAAAAGTTACGGTACCAAATGTATTACTGTTCTGTACAAATATCAAATTTGAGAGTGGGAGAATTTCCCAGTAGGCAAGAGGGTCTTCAAAACCCTTACATTTTCCCACTAAAAATCTGCCCTAACCCAGAGTCTCTTTTCCAATTTCAGCTACTCCCTGCAGTCATAGGTAGAAAGGCAAGCAAAGGTCTTGCTTGAAAATTAATGGTGTTGAGAAGAAGAGATATTTTGATTATTTTCATTCTAGTGCTGTGATGTTTAAAACTTTTCTGGTTCACCAGTTCTTAAAATATAAAAGCAAGGGCCCCACCAAGAGAATTAAGACCAACAGATGACATTTCTTACAGTAATGCAAGATAGATTCTTATTTGTACCTCTGAAAATGTGAATAGCTATTTAAATGAATGTCATTGAAATGCAGAGGTTTATTCTGAAATATCAACACTTAAAAGTGACACAAAAATCAGGCGTCCTTTTATACTCTCCTTAAATTTTCCAGTAGTAATTAATGAGAACCTGTGTGTTCTTTGGGTTTCTGCAAAGAAGTAAGAATAAGCTGTATTTATTCATACTGAACTTAATGTACCTTGAAGGCAATTCAAAGTGAAGTATATCTTGGATCATGGAGAGCATGTACTTGGTCATTTCCAGAGGGAGTTCACCAATGGAAAGCAGGATGTTTTTCACTTCCATGTAGGATGGGTTACTGTTTAAGATGATAGCAGCTGCAGTGGTTCTCACTGTCTTTTCATGGACTTTACGATTCTGGTGGTATATCCTGTTCATTGCTTCCTTCACCTGGTCAGGAAACAGATGATTCAGTCCGTGCTCTCACAGTTGACTGGGCAAAGTACAGACTGGAATCTCGTTTATAATATCAGCTTAAGCAAGCTCCATAGCTAAGGCTAATACATAAGGATATATTTTCAGCACCCTGTTTTTCGTGGTCCTTTTGGAATGTACAAGACATGTGTAGATCAGTGACCACATGGACAAGTGGGGCATCTATTATGTTCTCTCAGCCACAGTCTAAATACAGCCTTCCACACCGATTTTCACAACGAGGCTGTAGGAGCCCTAAGATCAAAATACTGTGGCAGTGGTAAGATCAAGAGAGAGACTTCCTTGACTGTTAAGGGAATACGTACTTTAAAAAAGTCAAGAATCTAATCTTGCAGTTTTAATTTTCTAAATAGTGGCTGTGGTGGTCTCATGTCCTTGAGAATGTTGTGACACAACTTTGTTACAGATAAGTCCATGGAGAGCCACGTAGCCCCACTGACAGCATGGCCTCTGGCATGTTCATTGCAGAGCAGCACCGTGACAACCTCAGTCACAGCTGCCAGCAGCAGGTATGAAACAGCATGCAGGGTAATGCAGCAGAGGCAGGACATCATGTACTGCTATTTTGTATGTCTTCTCTTGCTCTTGGAGGCTGCAAGGTAAGATGCAGCTATTTTTACCTTCTCTTACTTCACGCATTCTCCCTAGCTATGTCAAAGCACAAGAAAGAACAAGGGTTACACAGGTGCCCAAGTGTTCCTAACATCTCCTGTACATCACAGAGAAGGCAGTGAGTGCTCTTGCAAAGGGAGCTGCTTTTCCCCGCAGACTGCCTTCCACCTTCGATGGCTGTGTGACTGTCCCAGTTTCAGCCAGGATAGAGCTGG